CACATCCATATGGTTGCAGTTGCGATTATCATCACTGTTTACCATCAGAGTTTTCAACATATCTGGAATGAAGAGAACTGGCAAAAGCTTGTCTGCTTCCGGATGAACGGAGTGGCTCGTCTCGTTGAAACTGTTGGAAATCGTGTCAGTAGTGGTGTTAAATTGTGTCGTTTTCCTACGTTTGGCTGAACGCCTATGAGCAGGGGTCTTCATTTTCTTTTGTGGCATGATAAGAAAGTGACGTATAGCAAGTGGATAGAACAGAATGTTGGAAATAGTGGTGAAAAAATCAATTCCGAGGGCTCAAATTAGTCTAAAAATCAAAATCTATGTTTTAATCAAGAGTGAATGTATCGTGAGGATTAGTGGTGTTAAAAACAAAAGATGACAATGGCAGGAAAATAGTAGTGGAGATGAAGTATTTATGTCAGTATCTGTGTGGAGGTAAAATAGAATATAAAGGAGCAAGTTGTATAAATTTTAACATATATGACACGAAAGATAGCCTTATATAGTAAAGTAATTTAGAAATGTCGATAATTAGTATCAAACAATCAAAAACGTACGGTATGTGATACATATATAAACTGAAAGTCCGTATTAGTAAAAATTGGGAGGTGCAGAGATAAGTAGTTTAGAAGATTATTACCGTCTAAGGTTATTATGTTGCTTCTTGAACAGATATATGAAACAGCTTTTTGGAAAAAAAACACTGTCAAAAAAACAAACCATGACAGACTCACCGAATTGGACAGGTAATTTCGGAAATGAAATAATTTATAGTATCCAAATACGATTTAAATGATAGTTCATAAAATAGTGAATACAGTCCTTTAACATACACGGTTATATATATTTCTTGATATTAGGTAGAGGTTTGAATAGATCCTGTAGATACATAAAGTACGTGGATTAAAGCATTCAAATACGATATAATCATATATTCCTTAAGAAATAGAATATAGATATGAAATGCAAATCTTCGTCAAATATGATTATATAGGGTTTCAAAGTCACAGAGTTTAGTTTGATCGTATAGTCAAAATGAATATTTGTAATTATATGATTACGAATTATTGTATGAATATGATCATAAATACTGTAAGTTGAACTCAGAACTTATCATATGGCATGATATTCACAGTTTATATGTTAATAGTTAAGAATAGAGTTATCTTCCATAATTCCAAGAAAAAACTAATTCATCCAGCTATGCGAGAATCCTAGAAAAGTAAAACTAAAAACCTCGGCCTGAAAGTAACGTCCAGTCCGTAGCGCGCGGGTTCTGCGTTGGATATGGAACCTCTGACGTTTGGAAAAAACTTGACGTGCGCATCTCCTCAAGGTCGTGGTTTACAGCAAGCGCTCTACGAGTCCACTTTATAACAACTATAAAATTAATAAGTTGGGAAGCATGCTGTGCACCAACAAGTGTTGTAATTTGCAGATCATGCCTGTAAAAAATGTACCTGCTCATGCAGAAATATATTGTTATTATCTTCTGTTCGAACGACTACAAAAGCGTGGCATTACTGTAAACACTCAGAAATATCAAATAGGATCCGACTTTTTAGACTTGCTAAAACACACTGTTGATGCGCAAGGCATCCGACCTATTGGAAGCAAAGTGGCGGCCATTCTGGATTACCCAGAACCGACCACCATCAAGCAATTACGCACATTTGACGGCCTTGTAAGTTTCTATAGAAGCTAACTGACCAACTTCGTGGAAATGCTATATCCATTAGCCTGGACGACACCGCGCGTAAAGCATTCTCCACGGTTAAGGAACTTATAGCTAAAGTGTTATATCTCAAAGCAGACAGCCCGATTATATGACAGTGACTTATCGATCGGATCAAGGGTTCAGAATCTCGATAGTCTATTCTGGTCCGTTGTCCCCAACTCTGCTAACTCGATCAAGAAGTCTTGGTAAGGCGTAGAAAGTGTATTCTACAGACAACAGCAGATAACAAGTCAGGCAGGCAGATCAGATCAAGCATACAAGTCAAGCGTATTTATACAATTATTTACAATCGATATTATCATAGGAAATTTTTAAACATTAATCAATGAGTTCATTAGTTGACCTATTTGCGCATTTAATCGATAGTTCATCAATTGACCCCAATAAAAATATCTAACATTTAATCGATAAGATGATCGGTAAGATAAAATTTAAAATATGAGTTTGGGGATCTATCGTCCCCAACATAAAGCAACAATGCTTGCACATCGGGACACTCAAGCACCCATGAGTGTCGCAATAGATGCATCCGACTCAGAAATCAGAGTCTTACAACAATGGGTTAACCTGTAGAATTATGGTCTACTTCGATATTAGTGCTGCTCTAATAATAAACCTAATCTTAAATTTGTAGATTTGTCATGATATAACTGCCTAATCTATAAGATCTTACGTGGAAGTCACACCATCGACTACACCAACTCACTGTATCGTATCAATTACCAATATATGATGTAGAACAAGGTTAGGCTAGAGAAAGAACAATATATTTGATATGAATAGAAGATATAAGGTAACATTTAGCAGAGACCACGCCTGCATGGCCGAGCCATGCCACTCGATCAACTCCAGTCAATTCAATTCATTCTTCGCGCCTTCTCCATCGTTAGGTATTTATCCGCGTTAAATATTGAATATCTATTTTCTGAGTAGTCTCGTGTTCAGCTTTGTCGATTGTGTGGCTATTGTCTAATGCCACTACAAATCACTCTTAGCAACCTTCGGCATTTTTCTCTAGACGGTTGCTAGACACTGAATCGAGGTACATCACTTTCTGTAGGAAAATCTTAGAAACGTACTGTGCTGTAGGGCATCTTCAACACTCTGTCGAAGGCCGAGAATTCACTATTTATACTGACCATAAACCGCTTACTTTTCCTTTAAGTTCCTCTTCAGACAAGTACTCACTACGTGAGTCTCAAAAACTGAACTACATTTCGCAGTTTATTTCAGATATACAACACATTTCTGGAGTAAATAATGTAGTTGCCGACGCGTTGTCCCGCATAACGTCCTTAAACAGTTGCCAAAGGGTCAACCTTCTTAAACTCGCCCAGCTTCAAAATGAAGACACTGACCTTCAGCACGAGTTATCCTCAACAACACATAAACGGCCCATTAAACAGATGGGAACAGGTAAAGAAACCTTACTTTGTGACACCCAATTGTGCCGAAACATTATCGACGCAACGTCTTCAATACGTTGCACAAGCTTTCTCATCCAGGTGTTCGTGCAACCATTAAGCTCATAGCAAGACGGTTTTGCTGGCCTGGTATGAATGAAGACGTGAAGGAGTGGGCATGCTTCTGTGTAAGCCACCATAAATCTAAGGTTATTATATACAACAAATGTCTCTTGATCTCATTCACAACTGCCGACGCTCGTTTTGACCATGTTCATCTGAATTTGGTGGGACCCTTACTAGATTCAAATGGATATTCTTATCTTTTAACCTGCGTAGACAGTTTCACTCGGTGGCCGGAGGCAGTACCTATCAAACACATTACTGACGAAACGGTGGCTCCAACCTTCATCGAACGATGGGTAGCAAACTTCGGCTGCCCTTCAACTATCACTACAGACCGCGGACGCCAGTTCGAATCTGAACTTTTCAGTTTTCTGGCCACACTTTTACGAATCACTCGCTTCCGAACGACCGCCTACCACCAACAAGCAATCGCGTTGGTAGAACGCTTTCACCGACAACTAAAAGCTTCACTATCAGCTGTGAACGTTAAACGGTGAACCGTTGCTCTTCCACTAGTCTTACTAGGTATTCGCAATGCAGTAAAAGCTGACATTGGATACATTGTTCACTCATCCGACAGCCAACACGCACGTTGATACTTCGGCGTTATCTGGAAATAAACTTAAAACAACGCGTTCTGGAAGAGGAGTAAAATCTCAAGAGCATTTAAACGAGCATTGCACCGAAGACACCAGTTAACATTTTGCTTCACCTCGGTTTTTAATGGCATTATATATAATATTAAAAAACCGACTTTGATATGCTCGATATTTATATATTTGTTTTTAAAAAACATTTTTTACAATATATGTATATTAATTTTCTTTTAAAAACAAAAAACAGAAAATCATTTTCTAAAAATTGTTTTTACGTTATCTCATGTGTATAAACTTATTTTCTTTTTTCGACCACTTTGTGTCTTAAAGCGCCTACGAGTTTATTTCGACATGCACTTACATATTCTTTTTTTTACCAGGACGGCTGGAAAAGACGATAAAAAGAACGATGAGGATTACGAGGAACCTAAATTTTCATTGTACATCGTTTTTTACTATAATGTACTTTATGGTCCCTTATAGTAAGGAGGACGAGCAGACGCTGCTAAGCATAGCGAGCTATCAGAGGAGGGTTAACCATCAGCAAACTCGTTGGCTTTAAACTTCTGTCTGGTCACATCTTAGGGTCATCATTACTCCACTAGAGGAGAGGAGTGATCAGTAGAGGTAAATAAATCCCCAAAATAAGTAGCTCTGTAAATTTTCGACATTTGGTGCTGACCACATTAGTTTTAGTGGACTCCCCTAGATGAAGGCGCTCATTCATGCATCCGCACCAGATCAGGAGTGGATACGCCGTGTTCAACATCTACTGCAATCGCTAGCCAGATCAAATCAGACAATCGCCGATATATTGATAGCTTATCGAATATATTTTCGAACAGCTTTGCCTCTGTCTTTCGATTTCACTTGATGTGTATGATCCATATTAGAAAGTGTTACTAGTAAAAGCATTGTCATGCTCCAAATAACTGAGGCATTTTCAATTCCTTCCTTGGAGTGTAACTATTAGCGAAGACCTAAATACTTTACTCTCTTCAGCACCAGTTCAGATAAGTCAAGTTTCCCATCTCACTTTCTCAAGGTGATGATAAATACTTTGCGAATTGTACAAGTTTGCAGAAAGACTTTGTTTAAATATGTACAGTATACATTTCTATGGTGTAGGATTAGTCCGCATATATGAACTTACTGCGCTACCAAATAATTTTACTGGTGCAGTTTTTGTTAATATTATATGATTTGTTTGCCAATGCATCCTCTGAATTATTTAGTCACATTAATGTTAATCTTTCGGTTATATATGTGTAAGAACATTACGATATGTAATTAATGATTTCCTCCTAGTGTTCAGGATCTATGTATACTTTTCTGTAGTTTGATTTTTTGCCTACTTCTGTCTAGCACGTTTGTTTTTCAAGCGGGTTATATAAATCTTCTCTTGTCACAATTCAAAGATGCTATACTCGTTACATTGTGCTATCTGATTTTGAGTATCTCATTACATTGCTGGGGAGCGGTACGAAAGATTGTAAATCTTACCCATTTCTAGATATCGAGATGGAACGATCCTGTTAAGATGCCATCTTCAGTCGGATACCAAATACTTTTTGCTTTTCAGAGGACATGTAAGTATAAGGACTCGTTTGAATCACATACATATTTGTAAAATTGTACTCAAGAAAATGTCATTAAACACTGGTATTCTCAGTTTACACTCACGTATAATGTTTTGGTCTAGTCCAACTATGAAGTTAAGCTCGCAAAGTAACTTGGCGTAAATCAGGGACATTTTTGGTTTTACCCGAAACATTACTTTAAATAGTATTTTTCTGGCAAATAAATAACCGAGGTATTTTATCTGAAAATATCATGTCCGACTTCCAGTTTCTAACCAGTAAAGATTCTTTATTTTTGCAGTCACAGCTGAGAAACACAATTACCAGTACATCTGGCCGAAGAAAAGATCGTCGGTTTGGTAAAAACTGGGTGATGAAGAGACGTTATGTAATACCACACTTTAAAGTACAAATTGCTTATGAAACATGAATATTTATGACAGAAAAATGCGCGCATTTAAGATTATCAAAGATGCTTAGTTATTTTCTAAAAATACTACAACTACATAAGATATCGTACAGTAATCCATATAATCATGGAATATATGAACCTATCTCGCTAAAAAATTTGTCCCTCAACGTTATGGTCAGTAGCCTGATTCATTCAACAAAAATGCTCTTTGCACTTGAATGATTCAGTGGTGTATATGCTGAAGTCCATCAAGAATGCTTGTAACTCGTGTTTATCTATGGGTGACCAGTCTGACCCAAATGGCGACTTTTGAACGCTGACCATAGAGCTGAATATATCCTTACCTTAGAAGACTGATCAATGAATGTTGGGTTGTTTACCAAAGTTTATTCAGTATGATTAATACAAACCAATCATTGTGCCTGACGAAAATGGTACATACGTCTTTCGGTCTGTCCTTATACATATTACATTTTTATTCTCTTTGTATTTAAGTACTAAATTCACTTGGTAAAGTTCTATCTGTTCTATAACCGTAGCATGGAAGCAGGACAGCTTAATTACCAAGAGGATGCGTCAGGATAGATATCTATCTTATAGTTTAACTTGGATATAAGAGTACTTAATTAGGATAATCACAACATTTCAATCCATCTGTAATGTACGAAACCCATTATTCAAATTAAATGAGTAAATGGATCTATAGAAATGATAGTCCTAGAAATTACAATATTGTACTTCACTAAAAACAATGAAGGATTATCATTTCCGAATTCACATAAGCGTTTCATATCAAAAGTAAAGATAACTTTCATGTAATAGGTTTTTAAAGAATTAGCAACTATTTGGATATTTTTACAGCATGTTTATTTACTGATTAATTTCAAGTAACATTTGTACTTAATCTTAATTATCAAACCATTTTACATGGTGTGTTATAATGAGTAAACTAAATATGCACATAGATCCAAACAACTTTCCAAGATAATCAAAATGTTTTTATCTACTTTTACTGAATTTTGATTTTACTTGTGACAACATAAATATGTTGATGATCCCCAGCTTTTCAAGCCCCTGTATAATACAATGACCAAGACTTATTTAAACAAAAAATCTAGTCTTTTTAATTCACTTCATAAAGACCCTACTAACAGAATTATGTGTGTGACACCCATTTCCATATGTGATGTGAAATTGTAAAAAAATAAGTTATAATATTTATTTATCCAAATACGTGAGCACATCGGATACACCTTGAAAATGACATCTCTAACAATTTTAGCTAAGAAAAAGTAAAAATCATGTATCTAGGCTGAATTTGGTTTTGAAATTAACAACCTAGTTTCAAATACTATAGTGCATTAGATAAAAGCTGAGAATATCTGCGTCAAAATACTTTTAGAAATTCTAGGTGACATAACTCGGATATGCCAAAGTGACAAAGTGTGTTACTATGGATAATAGAAGGTTTACCGTCTCTCAACCACGTATTCTATTATAAATTCTATCCTACATAATTTATTTTTCCAAGTACTTGAAAAACGGATAAATTGAATTGATTAACTTTATAGAGGCAGATTGTCTGTTTATTTTGTACAGCTGAGCTAACATGAATACACTTTTTGTTTGTTTTTACTAAATTTTAATTAAGGGTCAGTATTATACTACTTTTTTTACAAGAGAACAATTTATCGACTAGGAGATTCTAGATATTATGAAAACTGTGAATGGATAAAGAAACAAATCGAAAGTAATTCTTGAAGATAAAAAAGATCATTATTTATATTTGAAAAACTGCATACTTCTGACTATCTTTGTGTAGCAAACAACATCTTAAATAAATGATTTTATGTGCAAATTAGTTTACCTAAAATTATCCAAAAAGAATATTAAAGATACTTTAGTTTTTAATTTGACCCTTTTACTTGCCGATTTCTCTCAATATTTTTAACCTATTCATTGCTGTGTTACGAACGACTAGGGTCCAGTAAGAAAGTTGTCAAATAAAATTATAAGGCTTTGTTCCTTAACTTGATCAGAATGTAAATTAACAACGATATTAATCTTAGAAAAATTCTCTTCAATGGTAATAATTTTCTTAGGGGGGTTAGCTGGATAATCAAGCTAAGACAAACCACTCACAACTCTGGTGTTTTTGCCTTGAAAACAATTTTAGAACTTTTTTCGTGGAATCCGAATTGTACCGGAAACGGCCTACCAAAGTAGGGATGGAGTATTAATACACTCCAAACTTACGGTTCCGAATGGAGTGTAGCGGATAAATGTATTACTATACGAATCAGTCATGCACATAAGGAGGACTTACAACGATAATAGACAGATACTAGTTCCAAGAACTATATTTTCTCGACAGAACATTCTACTCTACTTGGATTCTTACTCAAACGAGCCCCGGTTGGGTTAGAATTAGGAAAATTTATAAATAGCTAAATCTGAGACTAGAGTATACCACTTTAGACTCATGTTGAGAACAGTGTCTTTAAGTTATATATTTTGCTTCGCAGAGACCAAGTGAATTAATAACTGGACAACAAAGCAATAACACGGGATAATAAACTAGCATAACCAGGGAAAGCTTTAATCTGACTGACTGTTTTGAAGAATTGGCTGTAAGTATCTGTAGTCAGTCATATTCACCGTGGAATCTCGTAAATATATGCGTGGGTTTGACACGCAAAAAGTATCAACACGGTAGAGCGAAGTTATCGAGATGAATGTCGGTAAGCCTCAGTTGTATTACAGAACCATTCGGGATCGAAAAAGTGACTTCAAGGTCGAAGCGTGTAAATCGATCTTGAACGAAGTTTTCCGAATCATATTCAATCAAGGTGTTAACTGTGGATCATATAATGATTACCTATAATAAGGAAAATATCATTTACTATTTAAAGGATGTTAGATTGCTAGGAAAGTACTCACATATAGATGAGGAAACGGAATAGCTGTTTAAGATTAGGATTATGAATTGTGATATATATAATAGGCCTGAACATTGCTCTTGGTTTTGAACTTCAAAGTTGAAGGACCTATAACCATATTAGAAAAGTTCATTATTCACCTCAAAACAAAACCAGTAGAAGCAATAGCAGTGTTAGTGATGGTAAAAAAATAGAAGTAACGAATATGATATGCAAAAAATGAATAAGTTTAAATAATAAAAGGTACGACGTAAATTTGAACGTTAGCGTCTACAGATAAACAAAAAGTAAATTTTTCTGACCTAAGTCACCTGGAGTTTTCAACTATAGGTCACATTAACCACGCGGGCACCAACCAGGTATATTGCACTTACTAGCATGGCTGTTTACAAGTCAAAGACTCCAGAGGCTGATCACATGTTTCGGTTTGGTCGCCTTTGTCTTTCTTCCAACCTACTCCGATACCAGCCATCATCGCGCTTTGAAGTAGGCAGTGATTGCGCAAACGCAATGTATGTCCTAACCGCTTCAGTAGATGAATGTTTACAATATTTACCTAGTACTTTTGTGATGTGAGTTACTTATATCCACATAAGTAGTACATAACGATGATCGGACATAGAATGTATTTCAGTGGAAGATCGAGAGGAAAAGAACGGAAACAGGAAGCGATTGGTATGAAAACGCATGAACAATGAAATCCGAGACGATGAACTGATATTTGCAGAAGTAACAGTCAAGTTTGAAACAAGTGATTGATATGTTGCAAATTAACCATTTACTGTATGATTCTCAGATTTTAGTGAGATGTTCTGTAATTTTGTTCTTGTTCACCGAATCTTGAGTTCGATCTCAGAATCGCTAACTCAGCGGTCTCATGATACGCAACCAATGCTCTAAAGACACTTGTAATAAAATGCTTGAACTCTGTGAATGTCACGAAATTTTAAAAATCATACTCATTAAAATAGAACGTGGCAAATTCCTATGAAGTCTATCCACCATTCAGTTTAATAGAAAGACTTCTCACTTATGTCACAAGTGATAAAAATCGATAAAAGGGGATAAAACTATCCAGGTGCATTCAGATAATTCACCAAATACCAATCCGCCTAGGGCGATAAGAATCCAAAGATAAGTGAAGTGGTCAACGCACTCAAGTGCTTCGCTCTCGATAATCAATAAAGACAATGAGTGACACAAGCAAGTCTCGATGCAAAATTTTTCATTTAGATGAAAAGGAATGCACTCCAAACATCCTTGCGTTGTTGCTCAAGGCGGTCAGAAGATTCCGTTTACTGTCAGTATCTAAACTCCACCAGTAGCTCTTCTAGAGTTACTACCGGTTCCAAGCCCACACAAAGGAGGAGGGTTGGGCATGGGGTCGGCAATCTCATCTCGTAGGAAAAGACATTGCTAAAAGACACCAACCAGATTAAATTAATCACACCATTTAAATTTTTTTCTTGTAGTTGAAAGAAGAATTTCGACGCCTCATGATAAAAACCAAAATTCTTCGAAAGTCACGAGGCTGGTGCTCCTTCTAGCAACCAGAGTAACAGTTTCTATAGGTACATGGAACGTTCGGAGAATAAGAGAGACCGGGAGGATCAGTCTAGTAGCTACGGAAATGAGGAGATGCAACATAAAAACACTCGAAATCAGCGAAACCCGTTGGACCCAAGCTGGAGATCAAAGGCTAGATACGGGAGAGATGCTGCTATACTCCGGTCACGAAGAGAAAAATACTCCACACATTCAGGGATTTTCCCTAATGCTGTCCAAAGAAGCACGAAATACACTTGTAGGATGGGAATCTCACGGATCCAGAATCATCAAAGCATCATTCAAAACAAAGAGGGAGTGGAACACAATGAATATTATCCAATTTTATGCACTCACCAATGATAGCAACGACGACAATAATGATCAGTTCTATGGGAGGCTGCAATCAGTCACAGAGAAATGCCCAAGAAAGCACCTCACCATTCTGATGGGAGATCTCAACGCCAAAGTCGGAATAGACAACACCGGATATGAAAATATCATGGGACAACATGGACTGGGAGAGAGAAATGATAATATAGAAAGATTTGCAAATCTGTGTGTATTCAACAAATTGGTTATGGGAGGCACACTATTTCCACACAAACGTATACATATAAGTACATGGATCTCACCGGACCACACCACATCATATTTGCATCAATAAAAATTTCCGAAGGACAATGGAAGATGTGAGACACAGGAGAGGAGCTGACATAGCTTCAGATCATCAACTGGTTGTGGCCAATATGAATCTGGAGAATCACTGGACAACTCGGGAAACAGCATTACGAAGGTTTAATACAGTCTTCCTTCGAGATACTAACAAACTCAACGTATTCAAGATAGCTCTCAACAACAGATTCCAAGCCTTACAGGATATATGTGATAATTAGGAGTATTTAAATTATAGTACAAACTAAGAATCCCAGAAATAACGCCATTTAACCAAGAAGTATTAGATGTTCACGAACAAATGCATACTATTTGGAATTCAAAATCAAGAAGTCAGCAAGTACAAAGGAATCATTAATTCATACTAACACCACAATCTACAGCAAGAAGAAACTGCTATGGAGGACAACTGAAAAGGTATCAAAGAAGCAATGATGTCAACATGTCAGGAGGTTCTGGGCCGCAAGACGCATCATCATAACAAATGGATTTCTATCGAAACCCTGGACAAGATTCAGGAAAGGTAGAACAAGCAAACAGCAACTAACAACAGCCGGACACGAGCGCAAACTGCATACACAGAAGTGAAGAGGAGCATTAGAGTTGACAAGCAGAGATTCGTAAAGGACGTGGCGACGACGGCATAAAAATCTGCAAGAGAAGGAAATATGAAACAACCATATGGTGGTATGAAGAGAAACTGGCAGGAAAATATAGTAAACCAGAGATAGCAGTCAAGAACAAACAAGACAATCCAATCACTGAGATTCAGGAACAGCGGAACGGGTGAGTAGAACACTTTGAAGAACTCTTGAATAGACCAGCCTCATCAAACCCACCGGACATAGAAGCGGCGTACACAGATCCTCCTTTAGCTGTCACCACAATAACGATCAGAGAAATCAGGATGTTCATCAGACAAATCAAGAGAGGGAAAGTAACAGTACCTGACAACATATTAGCTGAAGCACTGAGGTCAGACGTAAAGTCACTGCAAAGGTGCTCCACATTCTATTCAGGAAGGTTTGGGGGGAAGAACAGGTGCCGACAGAATGGAAAGAAGGATATTTCGTCAACCTACCAATGAGAGGAGATCTGAGTAATTGTGAGAACTACAGAGGCATCACACTACTATCGGTACCAGGGAAAGCTTTCAACAGAGTGTTACTTAACCGGATGAAAGACTTAGTAGACGCCAGAATTCCAGATCAACAGGTCGGATTCCGTAAGGGTCAGTCGCGTATAGACCACATTGAGATAATGCGGATCATCCTTGAACAATCCATTGAATGAAGCTTGTCACTATACATCAACTTCATTGACCATGAGAAAGAGTTTGACAGTGTGGACAGGAGAGCATTATGGAAACTTCTTCGACACCATGGAGTCCCTTAGAATATTTCCAATATCATCCGAACTACAGTGCGAAGTCGTGCATGGAGGACAGCTAACAGACACATTGCAATTAAGGACTGGAGTAAGACAAGATTGCCTTATCTCACCTTTTCCCATTCTTCTGGTGGTTGAATGGATTGTGAAAACCCCTACATCTCATAGGAAGCACGGAATACAATGAACAGCTTGCATGCAACTATACAATATGGACTTCGCAGATGACCCAACTCTTCTATCCCATACACACCAAAAAAATTAGGTTAAGGCAGCCATTATAGCAGCAGCCTGTG